TGCAGCTGCTGTGACGCAGGGCCTATTTCCTGGCGGGACTCAGTGTGGAGTGTGTATGTTTGGATCATATTTTATGACCTCTTTTGAGAACAAGGAGCATTTTTTCCTTTAGGCAGGACCAAGTGCCGCGCTCAGCCCAGTGTTTGCTTATCGCCTGACCGTGCTGGGTCCCTTGGGCAGGTGTCCGTTCAGCCAGCCAGTCCTGCGCCAAATAGATTTGATAAAATTGTCATTTTTAAGCTACTGTTATGTTAGCTTATAAAAATTAATGGAAAACGTGCAATTTTTGGTCACCCTGTATTTAAATAATAGGATTAGTAAGCAGTTTTAAAGCCTTGCATCTTCATATGTAACAGTCTTTTCCTGGGGAAGCTTAAAATACTATTTCTCCCCAAAGAAACATTTCTATACTTGCAACAAGTGCTGAGAAAATATACTGAAAAAGTTAATATTTGTTGCATACTCTAAGGCCTTTTTTCATAAATGCATGCATTAAAATATGTAAACATAAAATGAAGATGAGAGTTTTGTTGAAGAAAATTTCCACACAGACTATGAACAAAACTATCATAAATCTTCATATATTCTTCCAATATTATCAGTTGTACTTAAGTTTTTATTTTAAAGAGAAAAAATGAAAAATAATATAACAGTTTCAAAACAGGTAAATAGGAGAATAACAATAATTAATAATTATGTATTGTTATATTCTTAATATTTGTTCAGAGTGTAAGATATAAGCAGGAATATTGGCCAAACAGTATTAGCACGAGCCTTTCTTTTCAACAAAGTGGTACTAGCTATATAACTACCTTTAACTATCTTGAGTATGCGAATAGATAGATAAAAGATAGGTAGATAAATAGATGGATAGATAAATAATTTCCCTTTTCCTGTTTTTCCTGTCCCCATCCTCCCATCACAGGAGTTTCTCTTGTTTTACACGTATACTTTTGAACATATACTTTCTTTGCACCCTACAACAGGTATAGTATCTCTTAAATTACTTCATACTTGGAAAGGTGGTTTTTATTTGATCATTTTGTTTATGAAGATCATAAATGTGTGATAGATATTTAAGCATTTTTAAGCATTAAAATCTAAGTAGTTTCATAATCTTAAAATACGTTGTTCTGGTATGTTATAGTCCCTTATTTGCTTTTAGAATGAGAATGACAGTGTGTGCTTTGAGTTTGTAATACAGCTTTGTCAAATTTCCTGTTCATATCCGTGGGTCATTGTCATGGCTTAGATTGGGGCTCTTTTCATTAGCAAACTATATTAAGTCCTTTTTCTGCCATATTTTCTTCACTTATCTTCCCCATCTCCTATTTTTTTCTCTCTATCCAGTTGATGAGAATTTTCTTCCTTTTTTTTTCCCCCTGTTTGTTTGTACTTAATTGGTTTGCATTGAAAAAATTTTTTTTATCTGACCAAAATATTTCCTTTTGGACACAAACATCATGTATGTATAAGTCCTTTTTCTGCCATATTTTCTTCACTTATCTTCCCCATCTCCTATTTTTTTCTCTCTATCCAGTTGATGAGAATTTTCTTCCTTTTTTTT